TACAATGCCACAGTACACTCTGTCCTACTCTACGGCTGTGAGAGTTGGTACCACCGCGCAGAAGTCGTACGGAGGTTAAGTGTCTTTGATCACCGTTGCATTTGTTGCATCTCCAGAATTCGTTAACAACAGCGAATCTCCAACAACGAGGTTCGCCGAAGAATCTTCATCGCAGACAATCTCAGTCATCTTCTAAATGCTGTCATCTCGCTCCAGAGACTTCGATGGCTAGGACACGTGTCGCCCCATCGTGTTATGTTTGCGCAAGCAGACTAACTGGAAGCGGCGACAAGGTGGACAACAAATAACCTGGGCTCGAATAATGAAGGCGCTAACCTCGAAACTGGTAGGACGCTCTGGACTCCCAGATTGGGGTCCCAAGGAACATCTATGGCTTGAAACACTTGCAGACATAGCTGGTAACTGGTGTCAACGGTGCATTTGTTGCGAGACTCTTATTCGTTAATTCACATTTAAACCGTTTTCACATCTCTTTCTTCATATGTTGTGGCACATCTGCCAATTCTATGTAATTGACTACGTGAATGCATCTCACCATCTGACTGATTGCAAGACTGTTTTAAGGTCAATAAAGATGAAAATTAGTGTTTCATGATCAATTTTGTCTGCTGTTTTCTGTTTCTGCTGTTCGTATGTACTGGAGAGGTATTAAAGAGGCACCCCGATGGTTACATATTGATACATCTGTTGCGAGACTAGGAGATCGCTTTAAGCCGGATAACTCGCGACTCCCCACACTAACTTGTAATCCACTGATAACCATAATGTCGTCTAGCCTTCCTACTTCCAGTGGTGGTTGATCGTTGAGAACTAATCGGTCCGGTAGCTGTTGTTGGTATTCATGGGATTTTTTCAAATGTTATGATCTATCTCTTATCTGCCTTTTCCCGCACTATCAAGCACAATAAAGCACACATAATGCTTCTTTCTCTCTGTTTTTTCTTCCCATCTCGCGACAGGCAAAAGCTGGATCCAGTGGTGGTTTGGTGTCCAATCTGCTTCGTGGTTTACGCCTCCCCGGAGGCACTAGTCGTGTGCTCACATTGGAAGATATCTCACCCAGTCTGGAACAGCTGCGCGATCGACTCGTGGCAAAAAATGTGGCTATGGAAATTGCTCAACGCGTTTGTGACAGTGTGGCCGATCGCCTGATTGGAACTCCACTGGGCGCATTTGAACGTGTCTATACTCGAGTTCGAAGCAGTTTGGAAGAGGTCTGTGCTCGAGTTCTAGCCTCCGGACGACGTGTGGATGTGTTACGCGATGCGATGGATGCTCGCTCTCAGGGTCGACCATATACCATTGTGTTTTGTGGAGTCAATGGTGTGGGTAAATCAACCAATCTGGCCAAAGTGAGCGGGAATAGCCGTATAGTGTTTTCCTCCACAGACTATTATTCCGTTGCTA